TTTTGGGCGGGGAGCTCACAGCGGAACCCAATTATATTAGAGAGTACAACTAGCTACACGTGTGCCTTTGAGCACCTATTTAAGTAGTCTGTGTATTGGTATTATACCGTAGATTCTACACTAGCTGCTATACCTATAACCCAACTAGGGGATTACCTATTTAAACCCTCTGTAACATATATATCCCTCTTGTGTCACTGGAACATCTCCGCTATATTTGTTAGTTGAGAAGTTCCAGATGCTTACTGTGGCCTTAGAATTAATTTATCCTTAAAGCATCATTGCTAGAGCTTTTCATACCCACAATTCGGCTAACCTAGACTTTCGATAACTTATGCTGAGTCTGAAAACAAGTACTTGTGAGCCAAAGCCGCTACCATTACCTACTCTTGCCCTTATGAAGTTCACCTATACCCCAGCATCCACTTTACGGACTACCACCAACTTTCCTGACATACTGACAGCATCCCCAAACTTCCAATCCAGATGGCCCGGAAGGAACTTGCATCCTCTAGTATTTCAATGAATTTTTTTTTCCGTATATACGTAGCCTGATTGGTGTAATGCCTTGCCAAACACCTAGTCCTTATTCAGTTGGCTATCAGGTTTGATTGCTAATGATCTTCCTTTATGTAGTACTATTGAAGATCTGTGCTACCTCTCTATTTAGAACTTGCCAAGCGAGCTTCCGTATGCCCTGATCCTCTGAATTTACCCAGATACATCACTTGAGTTTTGTATAACTCTTGTATTACACTACTGTTTCGCATCCTCCCAGTACTAGCTGATATGACAAGGTTACAGATGCTGATCTGTTAGATTACACACAGTCTGCTGTAACACATTCTATAAAATTCGAATTTTGTCACTAGTGGGATTCGAACTCATGTTCTGCCACTTGGGGATGCGACAACTTACTAAGTTACCACACCATTGTTCTATTTTTGATTATTATAATTACTATATTTAGATAATAATCGTTGGAAGTATAAATTTGTATAATTTAGAGTATAAGAGTAGAATCTAAAACTTTTATCAATAAAAACTTCAAAAAGCAAAAGTAATAATAATAATAATAACAATAATATAATAATATGATATAATAATAATAATAATAATAATAATAATAATAGAATAAGAACGGACCAAAATTTTCTAAAAACTTTTATTGGAAAAAAAACAAAAATATCTGGACTAGCCTATGAGACGCAGGAAGAGGGACCATAAGAACAGCAGCTATTATTTAGAGATAGTTCTTATACGCTACCTACTAATAGCTTCAGAGTTTATCATTTACTGGAGGCACGGCACTTGTCATTTAGAAGTAGTTCTCATACGCTACTTGTTGACAAGCTTAGAGTTTATCACTCACCGAAAAAACTTAGTACTGTGCATAGATAGGTCTGGATTGCTGGTGAATTTAATAAAAGAATACACACTCCTTTGGTTAGTACAATGGATCTTTCTTCCTCTTTTGCCTTTTGTCGAATATCCAAATTTTTCGAAAAAGTGGGCGATTTGGCTCACCCTCTACAAAAAATCGGCAGTGTTTACACTTACCTAATTTGGACGAACTTAGTAGAATGCAATCACGTGTTTGTTTTGTTTATCGAATACAGTGCTACGATATAAGAAGAAGACCGGTGCCCCATTTAAGAGATATCCAAATTGGGTGACATGTCCGGAATGAGTGCTTAATAATAAAGTAATATTTTACAATTGAGATATATTAATAGTTGCAATTAATGTATAATTTTTTAGGCCTTAGCACAGGCATAATGAGTACTATCATACTGTTTTCACTTTTTCTTTATGTTTTTCTTTTTTCAACATCTGTGTTTTTGTTTTTTCTTTTTGTTTTTTGTTTCTTTTTCTCTTTCTTTTCTGTTTTTTCTTTTTCGTTTAGTTGTTTTTTAAACTTTCCACTTTTCATCTCGTGCCCCTTGAGAAGAAGGAAAAATTTAGAAAGGAAAGTTGGCAGTCTTGATATGACGAGTAGATGCCAGCCAGTAACCAAAGGGAATAAATCCTTAGTGAGTTAAGGATCCGGAGGGAGGCCAAGATTTACTGAAGCAGGTCGTACCTGGGCGATAAAAAGTCGAGAGTGAGTCTCTTGTTTGGTTAGATTAGCGATAGCTAGAGATAGAAATGTATAGAAATATATAATTCTTGAATAGCTTAATTTCAAATAAACAGAGGCAGGATTGCCGAATTATAAAAAAAAAATTTGGAAGCACCAGAAATGAAAAACCTTTGGCAAATACCAAACTAAGAGAATTAAAAGATTGCTGTAGGAAGTAAAAGCTAGTCACTAATACAATTAGAGAATATAAAAAATCTTGTATAGAACAGAAGGGTTGTACTCCATTCTGGAATTGGTAAATAATATAAGTTGTTAATTAGTTTCAAATAGAGAAAATTACAACTAGATTGCTAGGATAGGTGTTATTAGTAATAATGTAATACAACTTATATACTATAACAATAATGTAATTACTTAATTAAAATTAATAAAAGTTATAGCACTATAGCAATTTAAAAAAAAAAAAATTTCACCAAAAAGTATAAAATTTAATATATCTTCATCAAAAGATCAATGTTAACAATTACTACCAAAAAAGAAAAAACATATATATATATATATATATAATATTTATTTTAAAATAAATAATATATAATTAATTTTTTGCCTTCTAAAATATTATAATAAAACTTATGACTTAGGATTTATAGGTCAAGAACTTTATATAAATATGTTGCAGAAGTTTTGGAAAAGAATGTAAGAAAAATTTTGAACTTAGATTTTTATATAAGAACAGATGATTTTGATAAAGTTTTTATATTTTGGATATAGATATAATAGTATAAAACTTAGTAGTACTATATACTTTTTACAATTTTGCACAGGTTTAATAGTACTATCTTTATTTTTTTTCTTTTGTTTTTGTTTTTCTTTATCTGTTTTATTTAGTTTTATTTGTTTAGATGGTTCAATTTGATGTTGAAGTATTTTATTTTATTTTTTTTACCTTTTGAATTTGTGTTTGTTTTATTATTATAAAAAAGAAACGATAATACTAATATAGTGTGTGACACCAGCCAATGACCAATAGATTCAAGAAAGCAGAGAACCACTAAGGCTAGCACATCTGAGCTTTTTAAACTAGATGCATCACTTGTTTGGTTAGATAGACTTCAGCTATAAATACAATTCTTGTAATTTTTGAAATAGTTCAAATCTTAAATAAACAGTGGCAGGCATAGCCGAATTATAAAAAAAAAAAAAATCTGTGCCAGGTTTTGTCAATTATTGTGGCGCAGATCTTATCATCCACAAATCAGACTTCAAGGATCAGGTGAACGTAACACGATTACTGTTTACTTTATTAAAAATCGCTTATTTCTCAAAAATTCGCATAAAAAACCACCTTTAGTGATTTAATCAAAGTTTTCCTTGAGCGATTTTACTATACAACCTCCTAGTCTCTAACCTTATTCTAAACGCTAACCTTAACATAATGAACTTTAAAAAATTGCGCTGCGTCACAATGATCGACAAAACCTGGCACAGATTTTGTTTGCTTCAATAAATATAATTTTACTTGTACAGATTATATACAGTATTAAGAATGACAGTATAAAATCCCTGTTACCATGGTCGCGAATAACTCGCGTGTGCATCATATTTTAATAACTCTTGAATAAGACGTTTTGCTAGTGGATTTGTTTTTGATCCTTTATTTGAAATAACGCATATAGAATCTCATAAAAGGCTCCGGAGCGCGTTATTTCGCGACTTACAGTATTGGAATACATTATATTTGTAATTAGACCGATATTAAACACCCAACCAGTTTCGCATATATTGAATGTTTTCGGTCTTCTTACCCTTGTTCCATCCCGTCCCAGAATGTCCCAGCTTATAAACTATATTAAAAATAATATCAACATACTTTAAATTAAATTTTAAAAACTTTGAACTATTGACATTTTTCAATGTCTCAAAACTATACCAACTTTCATCTTGATTGTAAAACGTACAACACTAACTATATGCGCTAATATTGAAAACAAAATTTCAAAAAATTCCTTCGAAGTTTTTATAGTAACTTGCCATTTTTTTTCAAAAGCTGGCTAAGTTATGAGAGACAATAACTTCATATGACCTCTAGATGTATTTTAAAAGAATAAACAACTACCACCTCACCATATAGTAACACAAAAATTTCATATATAATTACATAACAAGAATGAAGTTGAATTCTTTTGAGAAATTCTAATCCTCCATTCATAGCATCTGTTCATGTTAAAGATCCGTAGCTGATAACCGATTCTGGTTAAGAAGTGGTTCATTAGATGAAAAATCTCTAAATAGGCATCTCAAAGTCGCTTAATTATTAGAATAAGAAAATGTTGAGGGAAAGAGAGGATATGAAATAATTTAACACAAATCTTAATGTTGCTTTTTAGAAATAAAGGAACCAGATTTGTGAGCATAAAACGCATGAGCACTGTTTAATTTCATTATTTTAAAGTTCGTATTTCGAAGTGAGGATTTTGCACAAGTCTGTAATTCGGATCACTGATGTAAAGCCATGAATACGATGACATTTTTTTTAATATATATAAAATGTTACACTCCAAGATAAAAAATGCGACGATAATGAAAAAAAAAAAATAAAAATGCACGCTTGTCCAAACAATTTAATGTATAAATTTCAAGCACGACAAATAAAAAACATAAGATCAAAAAAATCATCATTTTACATGGTCAACATCAAAATGTTATAAATCTTAACAATCTCTCTTAATAATGATTCCATATGGTCGGACGTCTGTCAATTATACAAAATTAAACATGTCGAAATAAATTCATTAAAAACAGAGATCGTACCCGATGAGAAATTCTGTATACGGGCTATTCAGATAATTTATTATAGCCGTATAATAAAAATTCCCACCTGGGTACAATAACTAATTTATAACGTATATGGAATCTATTACTTACCGGATCCTTTAGGAGAAATCCAATATTCGCCATAACCAGTCTCCGCGGCAGAAATAATTGACAAGGTCGCTGGATTAACACGATTTTGAAACAATACACGATATTGAACGCCATTATGGGTAAATTTCTCAGCATAACGTTCGGCGACACTAACATCTGGAGTAGTGTAGATGCCTTGGGAATAAAGGAATTGTTTCCCTTTGCTTAGGTCGTAACCATCTTCGGCAATTGATCTACCGTTACGTTTTGCAGTTCCATGAAAGGAGACAGGCCACTCATCTGGTTCAGAATGATAGCGAAAGTGTCGGCTTCTTGTACCGAGCCACGTGTTATCATTTCCGTACTTATTGGTCACCTTCAAAGCAATCCTTTTCCATCCTACTGGGCGATTATATTGACGTTGGCCTCTGTAGAAAGTAACACCAGTATCTGTGATATTAGTGAAATCAAAATCATATTGAGGGTCAAGGTGTTCAGGATGAAGGAAGTAATTTATAGCACCGCCGCCACCACGAAGACGGAGTATAAGATGAAGTGTAGAATCTTTGAAAATGTTGTAGTCATTAAGATTACGACCATCATCGAGTTGCTTGCCAGCAAAAACAAGTCGCTGTTGATCTTGTGGAATTCCCTCCTTGGCTTGAATCTTGTATTTGATTTTTCCAATGGTCGTGCTAGATTTACAGTTAACAGTTAAGACTTTGCCGCTCAAAGATCTAATAAAGATCTGCATAGTATCATCAGCGTCATCATCGTCATCTTCAACTTGAACTTCAACCAAATCGTTTTCATTTGTTGAAACGATTCCTCCAACTAAATGAGATTGATGAAGATCATCAGAGTTCAACATCTGAAATAAGAAAGACGCATCATTTCTTTTTCTCAAATATTCTTCGTAAGACACAATAGTTTGGTTTGTCATCACACTAAGTGCCGAGGCGAGAAGGTCAGCGTTAGCCATTGTATTTAATATCGCTAAATTATAATGATGGTAATGAATTGAAAATCGTTTAAAATTATGTAAATTATACAATTTTGACAACAATTCTTACTTTTTTATATACACTTTTTTCAATTAGAAATATATACTAAAAATTCTCATGAATATCGTTTAAATGCGGATAAAATGTCCTATTTGCATTTGCCTTTATATTTATATATCGATAAACTGATCATGTCACAATTGGTCACTGACTCCTGAAAAAGCGATATTTACTAATGTTATTGAAAGTACGGAATACCAATCCGGAATTCTACCAAATTCGTAATTTGGCTTCTTTGTTAAACAACAGTAAAGCGCTTATACATTTTATCAAGCAACCTTTTGAGTCACGGAAGCATCCAAATTTAACTTCATTGTTAAATTACTTTAAAGGTTGTGGTTGAATGCACTCTTTAAATCACCAAATGTGCTATTCGTATTTTGGTTAAATGAAATAGTTCGCTATTTTTCATGAATTCCCTAAAAATGCACCAACACATTTGTTGTATCATAACATTATTATTTTATATAAACAAAAAAATCAAAATTAAAATTTATTCTTTGTGTTATCATTATTAGTGTGAGCGTTATCGATTGAAAATAGTTTAATCCCTGCTAACCTGTGATTAAGAAAAGTAAAGCATATAGATAAATATGGATAAAATTGAAACACAGTGCATGATCATAAGTCCTGCGATAACACTGCGATACAAAAATGGATTATCATAACTTTGGATCCAATATCGATATGTAACGATAATAGAGTACTATTTCTATAGTTAATCCAAATAAGTTTTTTTTTTTTTTTTTACTGGAGGTCCTTTTTCTAAAATTTCTGATACAGTTTATTTACTAAATTCATACGAAAAAATTTATTTAGTATTGTTTGCAATTTTCTTTTTGCAAATATATATCTAAAAATCATATTCATCAGCAAAATTTTTAATATATCGATCGATATATATCGATTAACTGGTTTTTTTACTAATTTCCCCCAGGTTTCTGATTGGCTAGAATTGTTTACATGTTATTTTTTTAAAATATGACGCCTTGGCTAGGGTTAATAATAGAGTTAGTAGGTGCCTTTATACTAAAATTTTGCAAGAAGCCATGGCTACATATAGCCGTATATAATAAAATTAATAAAATTGCTAATATTTCAAAATTTTATTATGATAACCTCTGTTATATAATATAAGCAAAAATGTTCATTATGCAATTTTACCTAGCCTAACCCTAACCCTAACCCTAATTTAAATTTAATATACCTTAATTATCAGTTACAGGTCATGTTCTTATGCAGGGTTTAGAATGCAGATCATATAATAATTTTAATATAGATCATTTGATTTTTATATATAACAGTGTTGTCAATTAGAAGTTTTCAATTGAAATTTAATTGGAATATGAAATTGGACCAATTGGACCAGATCCAAATAGGTTCAATTCAAATTGACCAATCAAATTTTTGCACTTCTTATATAATTTAAATTAACCAATCAAATTTTTTTATTATTTAAATATTCATTACTAGTGTTTAGTGTTGTAAGTGAAATGATCTAATTCAAATTCAATCAGAATAATAAACTGGTAGAATTTAACTAAGTTCAATTGGTCAAATTTCAATTGAAAAAACATTCAATAAAATTTAGCTTTTATGCATATGGAGGTTTTGCCTTAAAAATCAAGTTATGGGACATAGTAAATCATATGTCTCATATTTGATTTTCAAGGCAAAGATCCCATATGATATTATTTCAGTATTTAAAATCTATATGCAAAATTAGTGAAATTAAAATAAAATTGAATTTAAATATTAAAGGTTTTAAAATTAAACTTATTTTGAAATAAGTAAAAATTTAAAAGACCCAATTTTTATTTTTAAAATTCTGATTCAAGTTAATTAAATTGGTTTTTTTTGATAAATATTTACCAATAAATGATTATATAAATAAGTTTATATATTAAAAAAAAAGATTTATGGATTATATGTTTAATACAAATCATTACTTATTTTATTTGAAATTGGATGTTAAATTATTAATTTTAAAATCTCTATTAGATATTATGTAATAAAAATTAAATTAAAGACTTGAAGTTAGTCAATAAATCCACATATTTTGTTTATATAGCTTTTTTAATAATGCAATATAACTAAGAAATAATCTAGTTGTCACCAGCGATAACAGTCACCAGATTGCAATTGATCAGCCAGATCGTGTTATAGAATCAAACAATCGCTAAAGTTAATTGTCATTAGAATTAAGAGTGAGAGTTGAATTAGGGTTGAGGTAGAATAAAGTTTATAATAAAATTTTGCAAAGAATTTTTTTTATTAGAACATAAAAGGTGGTTTCATAGGTAAAATTTTGAGCTATAGCAAATTTTTGAAAAATTTCAGTGTTTCTTCATTTTTAGGTTACACAAACATTAAACTGATCCTGTGATGTGATTGGCCAATTGCAACCCGATACTGTCACTGTTGGCGACAAATAGATTCATCCTATAACTAAATACTGTAATTTGATTAAGTATAAAATGTTTTATGTAAAAAATTATTATTTGTTAAATAAATTTATTGAACCTATATTTTATTTAAAATTCTTTAGAATAATTGGAATAGTTTAAATGAGGTCTATTTTAATTAGTCCATAAGTTCATTATTTTAAAAATACAACACTAATATATAAAATTCACTTTGTGAACAGTTCTTTATATAGTAACACTAAATTCTTTTTTTTTTTTTTTTTTTTTAAGGTGAGGTTTTGCCTTTATCTTTATTAATAATTTGTGTTGAGAATCCACTAGGG